CTTGCTGTACAGACTACCACCGGCTGGCTGGGTCGCTCTGTAAGTAAGGCTTTTCCCTATTAAATACCCTTATATTTCTACCTGACTCCGTACTGGTAATTTCTTACTATACATATCCTTGTGCATTAAGCAGGGAAGTTGGTTACCTTTACTTAGGCTACCCACTCTGCCACAAATTTCCTGCAACAGCCCCACAAATAAAAATGGTAGTCTCAGCCCTACTGAGACTTAGTCCTCTCATGAACATTGTAGATACCTGCAGTGAAATATGGTGACTTGAATAAAAAAGAGGAGGAGGGAACTCAACAAACCACTTCAAATGTACAAATCCTAATACAGAAATGAAATCAATGGGAAAAACCAATATACCATGTTTCCTCCACAAATTACTAATCCCACAATTATAAAACCTAATAAAAATAACCTGGAAGATTATAAGTATATTCAAACAACTGAAAATAGACATGAATATACTACAAAAGAACAAATGGATTAACTAAATAAAGAAGCCAATACAAGACATGATAATAGAATTCAGTTTAGAGAATTGCTTGGGTGAAAAAACAAACTAAAACGATTCTAGAAATGAAAGATAAATCAATACAAATAAAAATCTCAGTGGGAAATCCTATCCGTAGAAAAGATCACAGTAGAATTGGAGCTGAAGACAATATATAGGAATTGAATTACTCAGTAAGAGTAAGGAATGAATCTTAAAAATACACATAACCATAATGTCTAAAACCTCTGGAGCTCATAGTGAAGGCTTTGCAAACATTGCCAATAAAACCATATAAGAAAATTTTCCAAATCTAGAGAAACAGATGCCCATCTAGGTACAAGAGGCCTTCCACAAGGCCAAATAGATAGGGCCACAAAAAAATCCTCACTACATATTATGGTCAAAAATTAAAAGTACAGAAGAAAGGGATTGAAAGAAAAAAAATGTTAAGTCACTTCTAAGGGCAGGGCCATCAGAATAGTACCTGATTATTCAATGGAAACTTTTCTTTGAAAATGTATTTACTTTTTATATTTTAAATTAAAATATAATTACATAAATTTGTTTTCCTCCCTCCAGACCTCTCCAAGTCCCTCTCCTCCAACTCCTTCCATGACCCTATCCCTCACTCCAAAATTAGTAGCCTTATCCTCCTGGATTATCCTTTCTTCTAAATGCAGAGAGACTTGAGAAGGTATATTCCTAGTTCTAAAGCATAATTGTAAACCCACACTATTATATTCAGCAAAAATATCAAAATTTAAGTATTTTTCAATGATAAAATGAGATTAAGGAATTTACAAGCACTAAGCCATTTCTACAGAGGATACTGCCAGGAATACTTGACACGATGAGCTTCAAGCTAAAACTACTTAGAAGATATTAAGGATGGTAAAACACCATATCCATTGGAAGAATAATCCATTAAGAGGTACCACATTTAGATATTATAATTCTAAATCCATACACACCATACACAAGCACACTCAGTTTCTTTTAAAAAGAAAAACAAATGAGTGGCCATTCTATCAAAAGCAGTCCACAGATTCCATGCAATTTTCATCAAGACTCAATGCCTCTCTTTGACACCATAGGATAGCAAATAAAAATCTCAGTGCCAGGAGTTGGTTATATTGCTAGAGTATTTGGTCACTGGAGTTCCACAAAGCCCCCCACCAACATTACAGGCTATAAACTATCAATGTTCTTGGTTAGCTTCCATAATTTGACAGTAAAACCCTACTGATGAAGTTTAACATACTGGAGTCATAGGATGTGAAAAAAATCAATCTGGTACCAATATGGAAGCTTCATCCTTTGGCTAGTGATCATAGTGCTGAAGGTTTATGCATGCTACTAGGGGAGAAAAGTAACAATCTTACTCATTTGTAAACCATGTGATCTACAACAAAGACCTTTATATCCATAGATCAGTGCATGTCTCAACTTCATCAGATAAGCAGTAGACAGCAAGTAGTTTAGAGACCCACAACTCATCAGTGTGTACATATTAAGAGACACGAGTTCTCAGCTCTAAATGGGACACCTATCTGGTCAGGGATCTTCATGGAAGTGCATGTGGAATGATTTTAAGAGCTGGAATTATTGGATATCTCTAGCAAAATAATTATGTGTTGTCAACATTTGCTGGACATGACAGCACTGTTGCACACATGAAATCATAGCAGTTGCAATTGCATGTACAAGACTTGCACAAGATCAAGGCACAGAGAATCTCAGTATGGGTGGAAGGAAGAGTTCATGAAGTCCCACCCCTACCTGGGAAGCTAACAGTAATTGATGGAGAGTCACTTTTCTTCAGGGATGCAGCCCCTGAGAGGCCACCAATGATCCAGTAGATAGTCCTATGACCATTAACATATTAGCAGCACTAATTGGAGGCAGTGAGTCTTAAAAAAGAGTACATGAAGTTGGGAGGGAAAAGGGGTAGGGAGATAGACACCAGGAATTGGATAAAAACATTATTTGCTTGCATAAAATTCTCAACAAAATAAGCCAAAATTGAAAAGAAAAAATTATACTTTAAGTTCTTATCTCAAAAAATCCTAATATATTTTGTTTTAGCATCAGAAAATTAATTACACCCACTTTATACATTCATAATAGAAACCAGTATTTTAAGAATATTCAACCAACTTATAGGTTTTGATTAATATAATTTTTGGTTACTTTTATACTACTGTGCCAAGGCACCATGACCAAGACAACTTATAGAAGAAAGAGTTCATGGGAGGCTTACAGTTTTAGAGGGTAAGTTTATGACCATCATGGTGGAGAGCTTAGCAGCAGGCCGGCAGACAGTGCTGGAGCAGCTGAGAGCTTACATCTTGAGATGCATTCAGGAGGCAGAGAGCTTATTTGGAACAGCATGGGCTTTTGAAACCTTAAAGGCCACACCTCCTAGTCCTTCCCAAAAAGTTTCACCAACTGGGAACAAAGTATTCAAATATAGGATCCTGTGAGGGCTACTCTCATTCAGACCACCATAATAATAAACATTTTCAATTAAGAAATACTTTGAAAGCAAGCCAGACATGGTGACACATTCCTATAGTCCCAGGACTTGAGATGCTGAGGCAAAAAGAAGGTTGCTTTGAGGCCATCCTGCGTATGTAGTGATATAAATGCTAGCTTGGGCTAAGAAATAAGATCTTGTCTCAAAAGACCAAGGCTAAAAATGTACCTTATTGTTAGAGTGCTTGCCAAGCAAGAGGAAGGCCCTGCCTCCCATCCCTACTGCCACACACATTTTGGAAACAAATACAGGTTATCTGCTTTACAGTGATGCTATCCAAGTCTTTGCAAATCTTCTTTCATGTTTTCTAAAGAAAAATAAATTCTCAGAATAGATATCATTTATTTTAGTAAAGAGGCCATTTCTTAAGAAAATGGTTACCTTTCATTCATGGTTTCATTGTTTAATTCTTGAGCTGGCCAAGATTCAGCAGGAGTATAAGATGTTCCTATTTTAAATGTGCCTTTTAAAAATTAAACCTCAAATACACCAGTTTTCTGTTTTCTAAAAGACACTAAGAATGTTTTTCTTCTGCTAGTAAAGTCATGGATAAGATCATACCTTTCTAGCTGTTCAGACAAGTGGTCAGCTGAATCAGAAGAAGGGGCTTGGTATACATCTGATAACTCCAAGTGCTGTCTGTATCCCTTTTTCAAAATTGGTGTGGTCCAGCTAAAAGAGAGGAAGACAAACAGACATACTCAGTTGATACGGTTTCAAAAACAGATACGATTCTGGCACCAATTGAAATGCAGAAAATATAGAAATATGAAAGTAAAATGTAAATACAACAATATTCATCTTACTTGATATACCCATATAAACATCAACAACCCTGAACTAATGCCATTGCTTCTTTTTAATAGACAAGGAGTCTATTACAGTCTACTCTTTCCCCAGAGGAAAAGAGACTGAAGAATGTAAAACAGACAATCAATACTCATAATTTTGTCAGTGCAGCCTAGGGTATTGAACAATGAGTTAGCCATTAAAAGGAATGAGAATAATGAGAGATGGCAAATAGCTTATACCAGTTAGCTGACATAATTATCTCTATATCATTTCTTGAAAGTAGGGATCATCAACTTTTTTCTCCTTACCCTGTGGGTCTTTATTAGGAATTGAATAAATAGCAATTTATGACAAAAACTAGAGAAACTGATAGAGGAAAGCAGAGTAGTCATGTTTGCTCAAACATGCTGCTTTTAACTACTATGGAAAAATCATGAGAAACATCACAAAAACAGACATATATTTATACATAATATGTAGTGTGCCACAAGCGACACTTCTTCCAACAAGCCCATACCTCCTAATCCTTCCCAAACAGTTTCACCAACTAGAGACCAAGTATTCAAATACTGGAGCCTATCTATGGGATCCATTCTCTTTCAGACCACAATTAAAAGTATTTTGAAAGCAAGCCAGACATGTTGGTATATGTCTATAGTTCCAGATCTTGGGAGGGTGAGAAAAACATTAGGTGATTTTAGAGGTCATCCTGTCTGTATAATGAGTTTAAGGCCAGCTTGAGTAGATAGTGAGTTAGGGCCAAGATAGATAGATATAGATAGATAGATAGATAGATAGATAGATAGATAGATAGATACATACATACATACATACATACATACATATATACATACGCACGCTAGAAGAAAGGCAGAGAGGGAAAGGAAAAATTATAAAATGTAAACCATATATCAAGAGAAAATTGTAAAGGAAATTATAAAGAATGAAGTCTTAATCAGCTTAAATTTTATGTATTTGTTTAAGGAAGGAATTCATTAGGATTTAGCAGTTTTCAAAACCATTTTCTCCCTCAGTACCTCATTTGAGATTTTGTAGTAATGTTTTTAAAACATGCATGCTAAACCACCAAAAATCAGAATCTGAGAAATAAGATAAACATGTAACAGAAAAACATACTCTATCAAAGTCATTCAAGAGAGAGTAAAGAAATGTCATGTCAAAGTCAAATGTCAACATTTTGTTACTGTTTTAGGTGGACCCTTACCCCTCTCATCTAAGGGTCCACATTCTTCTTTATACTACTTCAGTCTGTGGCTTGCTCACTAGGTCCAGCCCTATGTCCTTAATTCTTCTGTAGTTTGTCTAAGACTGATCTGAATTTAGATCCATCCCCCAAACTAAGTAACTTCATCAGCCAATTCTTGATAAGTTATTAGTGAGTGACTATGGTGTAATGTGTCACTTTCCCCCATTAACTTGCAAATTTGCATTTTAACAAGTGCCTCTTAACAAAGGGTAATAACTAGCTTTAGTCTTCACAGCCCTCTGTGATTCACTGGTCATTCTTCCTGGAGGAAAAAAATAGTGAATATACATGAGCTGTCTGAATGTATCAGGAAAAGAAGTGTCACCAACATGCAGATATTATCTCTGGTGATATTATCTGAGAAAGGATGGCACAACTAGGTATTCACTACCCCAGTCATTATCTGACAGACAGAAAGTGATGCTGTAATACAGGTGGCAGCTAGTTAAGAAATAAAACTGAGACATCAATAAAAGTATCTATTTAGCATTTGCCAAAGAACTTTCACAACTATTAGCATGCTGTTATTTTCATTTTGAAACTGAGGGGGGTGTTAAAGCCTTATTACCTGGCTTGGGAAATGGTACCCAGAGGCATAAAACTTTTCTGAATCATTAATATAAAAGATTTCTCCAAATTCTTTTGAACTCGTTCTTTACCATGTTCAACTTTAAGAAAATTAGGTATAGTGGGTGGTAATAAATTTAGACACACATGTAGGAGAGCAAAATCAAGGGGAGGGAAAACTAATAGGTAATAGGTAGGGGTGTGGGTTGCAAGCAAATAATCCCTTTTCCAGAAAACAAAAGCAAAAGCTGACCATTCACTACTTTATAAATACTCTTACCGTGATCAATTCAAGTGACCAAAGATGAGATCATTGAACACAGAAGTGGGAAGAGAACTGAGCTGCATATAATATTAGCACGCCCACCACCTCAGAGACAATGAACACAAATGACCTCAATACCAAAACAGCAACACATGGAATAAATGCAAAGCCATAAACTATTGAACTTTTGTTTACATATTGAAATGGAAATTCTATAATTTGATATTTAACAGTGGTTATGTTTAGCAGTGAGTTCATAGATCATCTCAGCTAGAAAGATTCAAGTGTGTACATCACACCTGGCAGAGATTTGAAATCTCAGAAGGACAATGGCATGGACAGAATGATGATCTATAGAACACAGTAAAAAAAAATGCATTACACCTACTAGCAGCTTTGTGCTCTCAATATATCTGAAACTATTAAAATCATGCATCTCTTTAAAAGAGCAGAATCCCACTGTCTTCCAATACCATGCCTCAAAAAGCATTCACAAGAAATTTTAAATTTTTCTTAAACCCTTAAAACATATAATCATGATTCTATTGGTCCATGTATAAGATTTGGTAGCCATACTAATGAATGAGCTTGCAGCTCAGTTCAAAATAATATAATGTATGGGATTTTTTAGAAAAATCATCTTTGTTATCTCAGAGTATTTTAAGATATGTTACACTGTAACAACTAGCTTTACCAAGAGAACCATAGCCCAACAACCATCAAGCCAAATAAATTCAGTAGTACAATATCCAAGCTCACCATCTGCAGTTAGCACTTCTTGGCAGTTATGTTACAGTAAACCTGGATTTATGTTTCCAAATTTAAACTGGTTCAAACCAAATTTTAAAAACTAAAATCTAGGGATAGTATCCATGATTAGTGGTTTAGAGCACTTGCTCTTATAGTTTTGGTTGTGAGCCTAGCCTTTAACGGCTGAACTATCCCTCCGGCCCTAGCACTTGCTTTTCATATAAAGGACCAGGGTTTGATTCCCAGGACCAACATGGTGGCTCACAACCATCTGTAACTCCAAGTCCAGGGGACCTGATGCCCTCTTTTGATATCGGAGGGCTCCAGGAACTCATGCAAAACACTCATACACATAAGTAAGTCTAGAAAACTCTTAAAACCTATTAGCCTAGGGCTGTCTGCAATCACCAGAGAGTTGCCTTACATTAAGGTCTTATTTCTTGAGAATAAATCAAATGAAATTTCTCCTAACAATGAGTTCTCTATGACAACTGTAGGCCAGTCTAAGAAATATAAAACAAAATTAAAGAAACCAGGCATCCAAGTTTTAGACACTATGCAATGTCAATGTGAAATTTAAGTCATTCCTTCTTTTCAGAGATTCTATTTAATGGACTTGTATAAATTGAACATATTCAACTATGTTCAAGCTAGGATTTTTCAGCTCAGTATTTCTCCCATCAGAAAGTAGTAGGCACTCAGGTATTTCATGAGTCTGAGTAGGTTCAATTGGAACAACAGAAAGCATTACATTGATGGTCTTTTTTCTGTCTTCCACTGCCCTGCTAGCTCTTCCCCTCACATCTAATGGCCAGCCACTAAATCAATGAACTTAAGAGTTCGTATTCCTAGAAAATTTGATGGTTTTCAAAATTAGGGTTTTTCTAACAGAAGCTAGTTAATTATGAGGTAGCAGACTCATAGCATATGCACATTTTTAGAGTTTACTAATATTCAGGGGAAAAGCCTATCATCTTAGATATACTTTAATGTTCACTTAACCATAAGAAGCTGCAAGTTTTGTTATGAACAATGCTGGCATGTTAGGTTTTAAAGATGCGTGCACTAATCTTACTGTGTTTAATTTAGCTGGTTTCATTTCTTTGGAAAAACTCTAATTTAAACAGATAATAATGAAATAATTTGTTCCCAGAGATTGAGGGCAGAAGTCCTTGCTCTAGGACAGGCTCAGCCACCTGTCCTAATATGCCAGTCAAAGAGATGAGGAGTGATAGAAGACACAGACAGAAGATATAATCTAAGTGGGCACACAGAAGAACAGAAAAGGGGGTTCTATAGCTCCCCACTGCAAATCCATCTTCAGGATACTGACAACACCTTAGGCTTAAAGAGAGGAACCAAAAATGCAGGAGAAAGATATGTGTATCATTAAAGAATCTTGGTCAAACTGTGGTCTGGTGTCAGTTCTTGTTCTACAAGGCAGTTCCAATAAGTCATTACTGGTTATTACCTTTACATATGTGGCTTTTAGGTTTCAAGCCATTGTAATGGGAAAACTGTAGTAGTAACTTAGAAATTGTTTTTTGTTAAAGAAAGGTAATAACCAGTTTTCCAACTGACATTTAGCTTTAATCTAACAGAGACACATGACATTCTCATCTGCTAAAATGTCATATGAAGATTATGTATCAGATATTTTCAAACTCAATCATTATTTGCGCAGAGAAATTATACATCTGCAGTATTTAACATTACTTTTTATTAAACTTAAGTCAAATTAGTTTAAAGACCCAAACCACCAGTTTTATGACATTTCTATCACAAGTGACATGTTAGCCCACACTCATGACCTTTTTCATTTTTAGATAAAATAGTTCTTAAGAAATCAAGTTAAAGTTATCCAAACACTAGAAATTTACTTATCACCCCCTTAAATTTACATGAGTTAAAAGTATCTCCCATTGCCTGTATAATCCTAATCAGCTAGTCATTGAAGCAGAGACAAGTCATTGGAATCAGTTGTATAGCATAGCTCTATCCTAACAAGTTGCTTTAGCTATTTTGCGCTAT